ATGGTCAGCTATTCCAAGGGGCTCAGGGGGTTCAGTCCATGGTCGGCTGCTCCAATGGTCTCAGGGGGTTCAGTCCATGGTCAGCTATTCCAAGGCAGGAGCATCATGGTGGACGGGCGTGGGAGTGCTAAGATGCCCATCCCACATCACAGTGGCCGGGAAGCATTTTATGCTATAGTTGGCAGCATCCTGCACACACTCTTAGAATCCATTTTTGTACAGGTGACCATGCAAAGGTCAAGGCCCAGGGTCAAAGGCCAAAGGCCCAAGGGTACTGGGATCCCTCTGAGTTATTTCTCACAGCTGCAGGTACAACCCCAATGACCTTGAAGGGGACAAGGGGGTGTCCAGGGCTCACTGAGTTCAGGTCTTTCCAAGTCCAGGTAGCAATGCAGAGGCAGCAGCCAGGGACTTGAAGTGCAAGATTTTCGACGGGGGCCCCATGGTCTGCAGCTGGGCAGTGGGCACCGGGGCCCCGGGAGACGTGCAGTACCAGCTGTCCTGGAGGAACCTTGAGTGCGTGGGGGCCACGTGGGTCGGGGGCGTGCTGGGCACGGGCAGCCGTCTGTCAGGTGTGACCTGGTCTCCCTGTCACAGATCAGAGGAGGAGGGCGTGTGTCTCCGTTACAACACGGACGCCCAGGGCAGGAACATCAGATGCCAGTTCGATCAAGTCCGTGCGCTTCCCGAATTCATGATGATCACAGTGAACGGGAGGAGCAATGGCTTCCGTGTGCCCTGCACAGACTTAAGCATCGAGTTGGCAGCCATTGGTCAGTGCGACGTGGGAGTCGGCCTTCCTGGGCACACCTGGGGCCCCTTAGCCCTGCCTGGCAGCACAACCAGGCAGTGGGAGGTGAAGAGGGCATCGGGACCCACCATGCCCTGGGCCCGCTATGGGCACAAGTACAGGTTGGGAGCTCAGCAAGAGAAGCAGCTGCTGGGCCCTGTGGGTAACAGGAGAAACAGCTACAGTGAGCCTTTGCAGATGTCAACCAGGGCCACATGTACCTGTGAGCAGCTACCTCAGTCCACCAGGGCCGCCACATGCCATCCCACAGCCCAGGCGGCTGACACACAGCAGGGCTTGGTGCCCAGTCCTGAGGGCTGAGGTCCAAGGTCCAGGCGTGGCAGAACCCGTGTCTGGTGAGGCTGCTTCCCGGGTCCCAGGTGGCGCCTTCACTGTGTCCTCACCTGGTGGAAGGCGGGGGGCTCTCTGGGGTCTGTGAGGAGGACGCGGATCCCATCCGTGCGGCTCCACCCTCAGGACCCCAGCACCTCCCAGATGGAGGAGGAGATGGAGGGGGAGGAGATAAAGTACTAAAGAAAAGCCAGACACTGGGAAGCAGAGCCAGGTCTTTGTGAGAGGGAGGAAGCCCCAGGAAGGTGGGCGGGGAGGGAAGGCGATGCTGAGGGAATGAAGCTGGGTTCTGTGCATGCAGCAGCTGCACAGGAGGAAGACAACCCTTGGGTGCCGCATACACAGACTCAAAGGAAAAACAGCTGGACGAGGTGGCGTAGGCCTGTCAGCCAGCATTCAGGAGGCTGAGGCAGGAGGATCAGAGTTCGAGGCCAGCCGTGGCTGCACTGAGACCCTGTGTGAAGAGAAACAGAGACAGAGAGAGGGAGAGAGAGACAGAGAAACAGAGAGAGAGGGAGAGAGAGAGACAGAGAGACAGAGAGGGAGAGAGAGGGAGAGAGAGAGACAGCGAGGAGCCGTCCAGCAGACCGGAGGCTTCTGCCCTGCGGCTCACAGCTCTGTCCCCCAGCAGAGACTCTCCTGCCCCCCAACATCAGCACCGAGTGCAACCGCACCCACGTGCACCTGTCCTGGCTGCCGCCGCGGAGCCACTTCCGGAACAATTTCAAGTACGAGCTCCAGACCGAACAGGTACGGGGTCCTGAGTGCGAGGCTGTGCCCGGCTGAGATGTCACCCACGGGATGCAGGCGTGGCGTCCCCGCGCTGAACCAGGGTCCGGGAACAACGCCCGGGGGTCGGTGAAGAGGAGCTGGGTGTGCGGGAGGCCAGGGCAGGAGGGAGAGACTCGGACGCGACGCGGGTGTGCGCGGCCCCGCAGCGATGGTGCTGGTGCTGGGGAGCGGGGCAGCGCCGGTCCGCTCCTCATTCTGCAGAGAGAACTTTATAGAAGCAGCTGCTCGTGAACAAGCCCGGAGTGCGGGCCCTGCGCTCACCGCGGCGCCCCGTCGGCTCGTTTTATTCTTACTTATTTTGGTTCCCTCGAGTCAGGCTCTCACCTCATAGCCCAGGCTGGCCTGGCACTCGTGGGGACCCTCCTGCCTCGGCCTCCCTCGTGTGGGGATCACAGAGGTGCCCCGTCGCGCTCCGCTCCTGCACTGGCCTTCTAACTGCAGCACGACCTTGTCTGACCCCCTGAATGTGGGCTCAGGCACCCCGAAACTGGCTGGCTTTTGTCTTGCAGATCCCGGGCGGCTCTCCGGTCCCTGTCAACGTGAGTGAGGCCCGGGCCTGCTGCTCTCCCTCCCTGGCCTGGGGCATACCCCTGACTCTGTCTTATGTGCCTGTCTCATCAGCACAACCTTTAATTTTCAAAGAAGACTCTGGGCCGGGGATGCAGCTCAGTGGCACCGCGCCTGCCTTGCAAGCGCGAGGTCCTGAGTTCGATCCCTGCTACCAGAAAAAAAAGCAAAGCAAAAAAAAACAAAACCCAAGCAAGAAGACCCCACTGCCACGTTCTGGGGTTGGGACGTCTTTTGGGGGACCCCTCTCCTTTTGGGGTTTCTCCCACGGCAGGACGGCCCGGCTGGGGTCATCCTTGGCAGGGACCATGGGCTCTTGATCTTGTGTCACTGTCTCCACCCCGGTGACAAAACGCCAGATAACCCAGCAGGGAGGAAGGGCTGACTGACCCGGAGAGCCAGGGACAGCCAGGGACCCTAATATACCCGCCCAGGCCACACCCCATGACCACACTTCCTCCCCGAAGCCCCGCCTCTTAAAGGGCCCGCATCTCCCAGTGGCACCATGGGCTGGAGACAAAGCCCTGGACGCATGAGTGCTCGGAGGCTCCCGTGGTAGATCTCGGGACGAGGGACCCAGCTGGGCCCCACACGGCTCCAGGGTCCCCGCTCCCCCAGCTGCTGTTTCCTTCTTTGCTGTTCCTTCGCACGCACGACAGAGCCTCAGCACGAACGAGTTCCTCCTGCCCAACCCTGGGCGGTGCACCGTGCGGATTCGAGCGCGCTATCGGTCCAACAGGTGGACGGCGTGGAGCCCGCCCCAGGCCTTCGGTGAGCGGCGTCTCGGCCCGGCGCTGTCCGACCCGGAGACAGGGGGCCGCCCGGCCTCAGCGCACTGAAGAGGGGACGTCACGCTTCCGTTTGTGTCCCGCCAGGTCCTGGGCCCACCAGGGACCCGCGCCTGGCCCCGGGGTCACCGGGTCCCCAGTAGAATCCACAGACCGGCCCTTTCCCGGCCTGGCTCACCCACGCCCTGGCTGTCCGCACAGGCCTGTCGTGGGAGGCCCGGGGCCCAGGAGAAGGGACCAGTGGCGCCTTAGGACAGGGGGTCCAACCCCTCCTCCGTGGCCCTGGGGCCCAGCACGCTGAGGTCCGGGCGTCCTGGCCGGGCTTCCTGCACAGGCTCCAGGGAGGCCCTCCTGCCTCTGCCTCCTGCATGAGACCCTCCCGTCTCCGCCCCCGCGGCTCCTCCGCCCTCTGGGGCCCGCGTCTCTGAGCCCGGCGTTTCCCCCAGGCTGTGACCGGGAGGAGAGCTCGCAGCAGCAGCGGCTGTGGCCCGCGTCCGTGCTGGCGGCGCTGGGGACGCTGCTCCTGGCGGCGGCGGCCTTGCTCCTCTGCAGGTGAGCCCGCCGGGCAAGCTGGAGTCCGGGCCCGCTTCCGGGTGCGGGCGGAGGGGGCTTGGGGGGACCTTCTGGGCCAGGCGGAGCGGGGTCCCGTGCGCTCCCGCGGGAGAAGGCGGCAGCCCGGGCTCCTCCGGGGCCCGAGCCTGAGCCCCCCCAGGCCCCAGCCGGGTTCGTTCCCGCCTCCAGGGCGCCTTCCTGTCCCCGGGATTAATTTCCGGGACCCGTGTCTGTCGCCCCTGGGTGCTTTCACATCATTTAAGGAAGGGGAGCACCGCGACTCCCGCCTACCAGGAAAAGGAAGCAAGGCAGCGGGGGGGGGGGGGGCGGGCGGTGCACGGCGGTCGGCACAGGACGCTGGAAGGCTGAGGCAGGAGGGTCTCAACTCCCAGGCCGGCCTGGGCGACTCAGCCAGACAAGCGCAGGGAGGGAGGCCAAGGCGGGTGGGCAGGGGTGGCCTAGGGGAAGGGGCCGCAGGGGTAAGCTGTGGTCCTCTGCGCTGCACACACCGGCCCCCCGGCAGGCGCGCGCTCCTCGGCCGGCTGCTGCCCCCGCTCCCGCCCATGAAGGACCCCCTGGCGGATGCCCCGCAGCGCGCGCAGCTGGTAGGTGGCCGTCCCCGCGCCCAACACAGGGGGCTCCAGGGCAAGAGCGGTGCTGGGCCGCTCAGCGCTCCCGCCCGCCCGCCCGCAGATGCCCTGGGAGGCCGGGCTGGAGGACTGCCCGGTCAGCGAGCTGCAGGTCCTGCGGCGGGAATGAGGCGGCGACGCGAGACCGAGAAGGAAGGAAGGGGCGACGGCGAGACGCTTGCCCTGGCCTCGGGAGCGGGACATCACCCCCCCCCCCCAGGGCCTGCAGGAGGCGCGCTCGGGAGGCAGAGGCGGGAGGATCGCTGCGTCGGGCCTAGCCTGCGCTCCACGGAGGCCAGTGCGCGCAGTACAGCTAGACCCTGCCTCAAAAGCTAAAATAAAGCATTGAAGGAGGAAAAGGGCTCTGGCGCGGGCAGTGGCCGGAGGGGATCAGACCAGGCGCCCTCCAGGAGCAGCAGCCAGTTCAAGCCCCCACCTGGGCTTCGGGCCGCGGGGCCTGCACCTGCCCAGACCCCCCACCCCACAGCCTGTGTAGCCCGAGGCCTCTGCACTGCCCACAGCCTGGCCAGAAGGGCTAGCAGTGGACCTCGGTGCAGAGCTCAGCGCGCTCCTTCGCAACGCAGAAATCCGAGCCCTGGGCGGCTGGGGCTGAGGATCTGCAGTGAACAGAGCAGCTCAGCGGGACGCTGATCCGAGGTGAAACAGGAGAAAGGGCTGGGGGGGACGCAGCTTGGAGCGAAGGCCCCAGGTTCAATTCCAAACGCAAAGAAAAAACCCAGGGAAGCCCTGGGCGGCAGCGCTGGACCCTGAACTGTTGAAACAGCGCCGCCTGCCGTTGGCCGCCACCCTTACAGGGCCTGGGCTTCGGGGCCGCACAGGGCAGGGAGCTCCCGGGCACACGGAGCACACGCCGGGCATACACTGGGCACACGGAGCACACGCCGAGCGCTGACCTGGTCCCGCTTTATTGGTCTGCAAAATGCCCGAGCGAGGGGAACACACCCGTGGCCCCGCGCCCCGCCCCGAGCCAGGCCCACCGCTGAGCACAGATGGGGGCGACGCGGGCCACGCATTCCTGGGCAGAAATAAATACTTGGGCGCGAGGCGGGGCCTGGGCGCTGCACTCTGGTCTGCCTCTGCCTCGGACTGGGGACGCCCGCCCGCCCAGCGTGGCGTCGGGAAGGCGGGGCTGGGGCTGGTCCCGGCTGGTCCGGGCGGCCTGGCCGACGGCCTTCCTGGGCCTAGATGACCTTCTTGAGCTCGTCGTACAGCACGAGCACGAAGGCGCCGCCCATGCCCCGCAGCACGTTGGACCAGGCGCCCTTGAAGAAGGCCTTGCCGCCCTCGTCCTTGAGGATCTTGCGCCAGCAGTCGATGGTGCCCGTGTACATGATGTCGGCTGTGGGTGGCAGGGCCAGGGCGTCAGGAGGGGACCCCGCAACCCGGCTCCGCCCCGGCCCTGCCCGCCCGGTGGTTGGGGTCGGGACACTCACCCCCTTTCCGGCCTGACTGCATCATCATGCGCCGGCGCACGGTGTCGAACGGGTAGGAGACCACTCCGGCCACCGCCGTGACGCTCTGGGCGATCATCCAGCTGACCACGATGTGCGTGTTCTTGGGGTCGGGCAGCATCCCTGCGGGGGCGGGGCTCGTGAGCCCCGGCTCGGGACCCCAAGGCCCAGGGCTCGGAGAGGCACCTTCCCCGCTACCGCCCCGGGATGCGGGCGCTCACTCAGGCCAAACTCTGCCCGCCCGAGCTCCTGTTTTACCGGCCTGAGCCCGAGACTGCAGTGTGCGGCCGTTGGTGGAGGGAGACCTGGCCCCTGTGTTTCTCAGCAGCTTTTCCTTCCTAGGTGGAAGCCCTGACTGCCCGGAATCTGGAAGTGCTGAGTGCACTGGGAGATGCGCTTTTTATTTTTGAGACAGGTCTCGCTACATTTCAGGCTGGCCTGTGCTCCCAGAGATCCTCCTGCCTCAGCCCCCCAAGTGCTGGGACAGGTGGACAGGCGAGTGCAGCATGCTGGGCAGACTGCTGTCCTAAGAGGGCCCAGACAGCGGCCAGGGAGGAGGCCCCCGCCCCGCCCCAGGCCCCCTCACCCTTGGCGGTGTCGTAGATCCCGAAGTAGGCGGCCCGGTAGATGATGATGCCCTGCACCGACACGTTGAAGCCCTGGTAGAGCCCGCGGATGCCATCCGACTTGGTGATCTTCACCAGACAGTCACCCAGGCCCTTGAACTCGCGCTCAGCACCCGACTTGCCAACGTCGGCGGCCAGCCGGGTCCGGGCGAAGTCCAGCGGGTACACGAAGCACAGGGAGGTGGCGCCGGCCGCACCCCCCGAGGCCAGGTTGCCGGCGAAGTAGCGCCAGAACTGCGTGTGCTTGTCCACGCCGCCCAGGAAGATCTGCTTGTACTTGTCCTTGAAGGCGAAGTTGAGGGCTTGCGTGGGGAAGTAGCGGATGACGTTGGCCAGGTTCCCCCGCCAGAAGGACAGCACCCCCTGCTCCTTGGGGATGCGCACGATGCAGTCCACGATGCCCTTGTACTGCTTCTCGGCCGCGATCTGCTTGCTGGCATGCTGGACCTGAGGGCACACCGGGTGGGTGGTTGGTCAGCCACGGGGCAGCCAAGCCCGGGGCAGGGACACACCCGCCGCCCCGGCACTCCAAGGCCCAGGCAGGAGGATCTCCGAGTTCAACACCAGCCTGGCCTACACAGTGAGACCCCGCTTCACAAACCAAAGGGCTGGGGCCGAGAATCGCTTTGCGCAGACCCGCTGCTCAGGAAGTCTGAAGTGCTGAGCACCCAAACTTCACCCTGACATTCACGGGGTGCTCCTGAGGACTGAAGCCCCAGGGTCTGTCCCCCGGGTACAAACCCACCCTTCCATTTGCACTTAGTCGCTGAGGCTGAACTCAGAATCTGTGATTCTCCTGCCTCAGCTTCTAGCAATGCTGGCACGACACGACACGGGGTGCATCACCACGCTGGATTTGCTTTTCTTTAACTTCCCAACACCAGGAGGGAACGCAGGGCCTCTGCGCTGAGCTCCACCCCCAGCCCTTTGGTTTCCTAGAGACCGGGTCTAACTGAGTTGCTCACTTTCTCGGGCTGGGTCCAAATCTGAGATCCTCCTGCCTCAGCCTCCCGGTGGGGGATGACAGGCTTGCGCCACCCCGCCCGGCTGCTGGGACGCTCTAAGGTCCTCAAAGACGGCCGGGCAACCGTGATGCCGATACCTGGCTGCTTTAGGTCACGCTGCTACACCGGCGCAACCGCGGCTTAACGGGGCTGAGAATTCCACAGGCGGGCTGCAAAGACTACCGGCTATCAGCGGGGTCTTTTCGGGCAGAGATCGCTGGCCTGGGGACACTGCAGCCAACCTGGCCAGGAGGGGCTCTTAGAAGGGACCACCGGCCCCGAAGAGCCGTTCAAGGTCACGACCCCCGGACCTCCCGCGGCCCTGGCCGAGCACACCTGCGCATGCACCTCGCGGGGCCGCGACGTAGTCTCCCGGGCAACGGGCCCAGTGCGCAGGCGCGGACCCCCCCCTCGCGCGCAGGCGGCAGCGCTCACGTGACGCAGCTCCCGGAAGTCGCCGCCGCGCGGACAATGCGGCTGCGGCCCTGCACTTCCGGCGCCCGCCCGCCGGCTCCGGTGCACGCGGGTCGCCCGCCCGCCCGCCCGCCTGACCGAGGCCTCCGAGTCCCCACCGGGCCTCGCTCACCCCAGGGCGCCCGCGCGCGTCCTCCCACCTGCAGCAGCAGCTTGACCCGCTCGATCGGAGCCACGGCCGTCTTGGAGATGGCGGCGGCGATGCCCCCGGCCAGGAAGTCCTTGGCGAAGGAGATGGCCTGCTCCGTCATGGCGATGCGGCGGGCAGACAGCTGCTGGAGCGCGGACGAGGAGCGCAGGGAGGAGGCCGCCGCTAGCTCAGCCCGGCCGCCGCAGAGACCGAAAGGACGGGGCGGCCACCGCGCAGCCGCTAAGGCGCCGACGCCCCACCCACGTCCCGCCCCCCCGCCGGCCCGCGCGCCGCTCCCATTGGCTGCACGCCCCGCCCCGCCGCTCCTGCTCCGCACCTATTGGCCGTACTGCCCCGCCCCCGCTGGCTCGCCGCGCCCCGGGAGCTGTGTCCCGCCCCTCGCCCTCTGTGCGGGCACCCATTGGCCGCGCCGCCGGCCGAGGTCCCGCCCCTGCCCGGAGCGCGGCCCCGCCCTGCGTCGTTTGGGCCGGCTTTGACAGCGGCGGCCTTGACCTTGAGAAGGTCAGGGCGCGGCGGGGACCCAGGCCCAGCCCTCGGGCGCCCTGGGAGCGTCCCGCTGCTCCCCGAGGCCGTGCCCACTGCTCCGGGTGCGCGGCGCGTGGGGCCGTGACCTTTGACCCCCGAGCAACCCCGAGTCCCGGGCAGGCGCCCCAGGCCGGCGCTGGGGACCCCGGGCCCTTCCGGGTCCCCTCTTGGGCCTGTAGGGGCTTCTCAGGGCCTCCCCGCCGGCGGGGACCTGTCCCGCCCCTCCGGACCCTGGACCCCGGCCGTCTCTGGGATGGGCTGCGGCGACCCCCGCATGGGCCGCAGGGTCCCCCGGCTCCGCCTCTCCCTCCCTGCCGACCCCAGCCTTTGCGTCCGTCCCGGCTTCCCCTTAGTTACGTTCGCTTTCCGTAGAGACCCTCCTGTCTCAGCCTCCCAGGCTTCTGGGATGGCAGGAGTGCGCCTGCGCGCCCAGCTCTGCGTTTGCTCTTCGCCTCGCTCCCTTCCTGTCTTTTTCTTTCCTTTTCCCCCTTCCCTCCTCTCTCTCCTTTTTCTGTTTTTTGCAGTTCTGGGACGGAGCCCAGGCGCCTGCGTGCTGGGCTCTGCTGCGGCCCCAGCGGGGCCCGGGCGCGGAGGGGGCGATCATTTCCTTTCCCTCCTCCTCCTCCTCCATCCCCTACCCGGGTTCCTGTCTGCGCCCACGTTCCCCGTCCCTCCCTCTGCTCCTGGCCCGCCCCTTCCCCTGCTGCTTCTTCCTTTAGGTTTTCTGGGTTCTCTCCCTGCCTCCCCCACCGATGACCGTGGTTGCTATGGCCTCCCCGATGCGCCCGCTTGTCACCCAGCGGACCGAGGGGACCTCAGCCGCGCTGGCCCCGCCTCCAGGCCTCCGGGCCGGCTGCAGCGCTAAATCCAGAGAGCAGCTGGGGCCCGGGGCTCGGCGCTGGCATCCTGTCCTGGGGGCATGAAGTTCCGGGGCGGTGCGCGGGGTGGCCGACTGGCCCCTGCCAGGACACGGGCGCCTCTCGTGCTACACCCTGCTGTCCCTCTGCTGTCCCCGGCCCCAGGGGATGGGTGGGTGGGTGGGCGAGGTGTCTCCCTCATTACTAACCGGGCTCTCATTTTCCCTAGTGAGGGTAGCAAGGTCGGGGAGGAGCTCAGTGGTCAGCGCTTGTTAGGGTCCGGGTCTGGACGTCCGCCAGAGCCTCCTGTGGTACGGGGTTGATCTAGAGAGTGAAGCTGGGATTGATTCACGGTGCAACGCTAGGCAGTAGGATTAAGGGTGTGAGCGCTGCCGGCCCTAAGTAGTCTGGACAAGCTAAAAGAGGCGGGAGACGCTGTGAAAACCCCCTTGTCACCTTTGCTACCTTGCGTGCGTGCGCCATGCTGTTTCTCCTCTGCGATGTCTGTTTGGCCTCCCTGCCTCGAAGCCAGTCGACCATGGACTGAAAGCTCTGCAGACTGTGAGCCAGATAAACCCTTGCCTCCAGCTTTGCGAGTCAGGTATTTTGTCTCAGCAACGAGAGAGTGCAGGGCCCTGGAGTCCAACACCACCAACAAGAAAAAGTTTAAAAATGAGGAAGCGTGGGCCCTTCCACCTTCCACGCACCGCACCGTGGGGGAGTCTGGGGCTGGGTCACCTGGCCCTTGGCCCTGGGGAGCAGCACGAGTCGCCCAGCCCGCTGCGTACAAAGCCAGGTGTCTGCCTCGCACCCTGACGACGTCCCCTGACACTTCTGGGCCGCGGAGCGGGGGGCTGGGTCGGGAAGCACGGGCCTTGCAGACCCAGGGTCCCCAGGGCTCGGGACCCCTCAGGAGGCTGTGGGCTCAGCGCCTCCAGGGAGCAGGTGCCAGGAAGGTTGGAGCCAACGCTGCCTCAGGAACGGGGTGGGGCAGGTTTGCAAATGGAAGCAGTGCCAGGGTGGGGAGCCATGGGTGGAGACCCTGAATCTGTGTCCTGTGCATGCATTGACTCCCAAGGTGAATTCTGAATTCGAACTCCAAGCATGGGCCCATATAAATAAAACAGGTAAGGTCACCCTATCACAGTGACCCATACACACGCATCTCGGAAGCAGCCTCTCTGTCCATCAGCAGATGAATGGAGGCAGAAAATGATATTTACACATCATGGAGTACTATGCACCCACGAAGAAGGATGACCGTGAGTCATGTGTGAGAAAATGGATGCAGCTTGAGACCATGCTGTTAAGTAACAAATCAGACACATGGGATTCAATTCACAAGCTTCACCCACTCACCGGTTTCCCTCGTGAGTTTAGTGTGTTGACTCCACCCATCCCTCAGGGCAATTCGGGTGGGGAACTAGGAGGAGCCTAGTCCCACCCAGCCAGGCCCTGCTGGGAATTCCCACCTCAGAGGCCTGCTTTGGTCCCGGAGTGACAACCCCTGCTCTCAGAGGCTGTTTACTTTCTCCCCTTCCCCCGTTTCTTTTTTATTTTGTGACAATACCTTGCTGAGGTGCTCAGGCTGGGCTGAAACCTGCGATCCTTCTGCCTCAGCCTACCAGCGTCTCTAGTTTCTTTACTATAAGAACTTCCAGTAGACGCAGGAGTTAACAGGGGCCCTACTGGCCGTTTATCAGCTCCCACCATGGGTCCTGTTTCTTTTTTTTCTTTTGCAGGGCTGAGAGGGCCATGCCGAGCTCTGTCCCAAACCCAGCTTTAGATTTTTATTTTGAGACGGGGGCCTCACTAAGTCACTAAGTTGCTCAGGATGGGCTTGAACTTGCCACGGTCCTGCCTCAGCCTCCCTGAGTGCTGCCATGACATGCCTGGCCTTACGCACTGTGGAAGCCACCTGTGTATCAGCCGGGCCTGGGGGCACACGCCTGCCTCCCTGGACTCAGGGGCCCCCAACCACCCCAGGGACCGGGTGAAAGGCCAGGTGGACCCTGCAGCCACAGTCAGGCGGCCCTGACCACGTCTGGCCAGCATCGGAGACGGCGCGGGCCCCAGCTGTTCAAAGACGCCTCCTTGGTGTCTTGGGTTTTGTTTTGTTTTTCATGGGCCTGGGGATGGAACCCGGGCCCGACACAGTGAGCTACACACCGGGCGCTTTTCCATTTCATTATTTTATTCCGAGTCTCGCTAGGTCTTTAGGTTACTCGCATGGGCTAGAACTTAGACCCTCCTTCCTCAGCCTCCCAGTGCGCTGGGATGATGCTGCCACATCCCTGCTTCACTCTCAGACCCCGCGGCGCATGTCCCCTGCTTTACTGGTCGCAGCTGGTGCACAACGGTTGCACACCTGCCCTCCCAGTCGACCGGGGCCAGCTGAGGGCCCCAGCCAGGCAATGCCCACATGCGCAGTGGGTGGAAGGCTCAGGGCCCGGCCCGGGTACCCAGCAGCACAGTGAGGGTCGCAGTCTGTGTGTCCCCCGAGGGGGCCACTTGCAAGTCACAGAAGCCCAGCTGCTCCAGCCAGCGGCAACAGGCACCCACGCTGCACCCCCCGGCCTTGGGCCACACCAGCTGGTCCAGCACCCGCACCAGGCCAGCCGGGGCACTGCCTGCTTCTGCCTCCTCCTCCGCCTCATCCAGCTCCTCCTCCTCCTCCTCTTCTTCCTCTCCCATGGGGAAGGCATCAGCCACCAACAGGCCACACCCTGTGAGGACAGACATGGGGCTGTGGTTGGGGCCACACAGCCAGGGGACAGAGGGCGGAGGGAGGGGACAGGGTCACAGTGACCCGCTGGGGACAGTGGGCAGTGGGGACAGAGGTGAGACCCAGACGGTCTCAGGAGGACAGGGGACAGATGGGGTGATGGATAGAGATACAGACCAAGAGAGAACTGGTTGGTAGATTAGATGATAAATTAGAGGACACATGGGTGGATGGATAGACAGACAGAGAGATGGGTACATGGATGGGTGGGTGGGT